AGTGTTGAGGGAATACAAACAACAATTAAGAAAGCATTTGAGCATTTGGAAATATATGATATTTTAAAAAATGTGAATAGAATCCTTCTTTACCCATTCCTGACCTGTTCTCACCTGAGCCCTTTCATGCCTAGTGCTGTGTCCTTGTCCTCAATTTTTACCTCTGGCCCTTGGTTTTCCTTGGCTGCATTTGGATCTTAAGTACCCTGTGGTCTCTGGTTTTCCAGAATGTCTGCCTCTCAGTTCCTTAGGTTGTCTCTTCTAGGAACTTTGGCTTCCATTCTTGCCCAGTGAAATGCAGATCTCACTGGGTTATATCAACATTCAGGTTGAGCCAGTTTCAGGCACCCCCTGGAAAAGTGGTTCATATGTGTTCTCTTCTTTGAATTGGGCTCTCTGCCTTCAGCTCTCATTTCTTTCCAGTTCACTCTCAACCCAGCAGAAGTTGGGCTGCATAATCTTGTATTTTAAAAATACAAATCTGACCCTCCATCCTCTCAGTAAAATTTTGTGGTCATTTCTCAGAACCTTCAGAGTAAGGTCCAAATTTCTTGATCTCACAGCCTAAGGCCCCAAGCTATCAGGAGCCACAGGCCCAATTCAACAGTGTTATGCATTTCTTCATATTTCTTAGGTTGTATAGTAATAAAAAAATGACACAGAATATTTTAATCTGTTTTGGAATTTCTCAGAGAAAGAGAATTATTACGTAAATCTCTAGTTGGGTGTTTTTTGGGAGCGAGTGGAAAATAGGACTGAGTAAATGCTTGTTAACGCGAGGTACATATCAGTACTTGGATTAACAAGCCATTTGAAAGATCAGTGCTTTATGTGTCTTATACACACTGATTCAAAACCGTGAGTTATACTTATCTCGATCGCATCTAGTGTTTAATCAATTGGACACTTACAAATAATGGGTAAACGGTTTGTTGTCATACAGGGTTGAGCTCTGCTTTTCATGCAGTGAGAGTAACATTTTTATTTTAACACTTATGCAATTGATTGTAAACTTTGGGGTGATATAATCTAAATGAATCTAAACAGTCCATTAGCCATGTCAGTGCCTACGCTCTTGCCAAGCTATAGCTTTATGCTAAGCTGTTGTGTGTTACTGTGTTACATAATCCCCTGCATTCATTTTCTCTACCTATTTAGCCTGAATACATACAAGGTGACTGAATTGTCTCTTCAGCCTCCTTCTCAGTGGAAACACTCAGTACAGAAAACAGATTTGGGGCAGTCTTACATTTTTCTAATGGAGAGTTTGGAGAATTGAATGGGCTTAGAAATGTGTTTGTCACTATTTGGTTTTGCACCTTTTAGTTATGTTCACTATCAACTTGGTATGGTTTTCAAGGTGATAAGAAAATGCTCGAGCTTTAGCCACTGGAAGGAAATTGAGACAGATTGGGACCTTAGGAGAAAAATGTCAGTTGTGAGAGTATACAAAGGAAGAATTTCTTCAAGGTCCTCTCTCTTTCTTCTTGCAAGCCCCTTATTTGCTCGTTTAAAGACTGGGTCATGCACTGCCAGTGCCTCTCCCTGTAACAGTCAGGAGGAAAGTATCCCATGAATTAAAAATGATATGATTTTGCTTATCTAGAATATGATTCAGAGAGTAGCTTTCGGTGGTCTCTTGTTTGTTGACATGTGAAGGAGACAGCCAGCCATCTGGGGTGATGCTGCTCTGGTGTTTTTCTCCAGCCCAGGGAAAGGGTAAACTGGGAAAATTCATTGAATGAAGAGATTGGGAAGGTTGTGAACTTTTGCAGCAGTTTTCATTACATATTTGCAAAGGAATGTACTCTCAAGGCTACATAAAATCTTCATTGATGAATTTGCATGGATATTAGCATAAATATGCATGTGATTTACATAAACTTTTTTCCTCACATTGGTTTTATTTCTTATTTATTTACTGTGATAACCTCTTCTCTTAATGATGTCATTTTTCTTCTGTGGCCATCCACATAAAACAAGTTCTTTTGTTTTAAACACACTGATTCCGGCGGGGTGGGGATGCAGGGAAGGGAAACATTTCTTTTGGTGAGTAAGTGTGATTTACATGGGGTAGGAGGAATAGGTCTCTGGCTCAGTTTATTCAAGGTTTGTGATGGTTTGTAAGTCAGTACATGGTTCAGTGGAATCATTCATGCCCTTTGAGAAGCAGAGTAGGAGCATGTGCTATATCCAGAATGATGGGCAAAAGGAAAGGTAACTGATATTTAGAGAAAAGTCCAGAGGCAGTAGAAGTCCAGAGTAGAACTAACTGTCTGGTCTTGGGCAGCTCACTTATTCCTAGTCATCAGTATAAGGGGGTGTTAAATCTCTAAAATCCTTTATAGCTCTAAAATTTATTATTTTGATAGACTCCTTAGTCTAATTATATAAAAAATATTAAGCACCACATAGCACATTAAATCATATCCTGGTGCCTTGCTCTTCTGTGTCAGGCCCTTCCCCCTTTGAAGGGTACTCAGTGATTTTTTTTTTTTTTTTTTTTTTTCTTGCGTTATGCGGGCCTCTCACTGTTGTGGCCTCTCCCATTTGCGGAGCACAGGCTCCGGACGCGCAGGCTCAGCGGCCATGGCTCACGGGCCCAGCCGCTCCGCGGCATGTGGGATCCTCCCGAAACGGGGCACGAACCCGCGTCTCCTGCATCGGCAGGCGGACTCTCAAGCACTGCGCCACCAGGGAAGCCCTCAGTGATTAATTGAGGCTTCTCTTTAGAGGCATTCCTCTCCTTGCTCATTTATCTCAGTTCACTGGGCACACAAGGTATAACTTAAATGTTTATAGAAGACGCCCACTAATATGCCATGTGGGGTGCCAAGGACAGGTGTAGTAGTTGGCTGTGTGTACATTTGCTTTGTTAGGAAAAGAGCTTAGCGGTGATAACTGAATTTGATTTGCTGTCTTCTGCTCTAAATCAGGGTTACGTCCAGTCTACTGAACAAGAGCTTGTCCAGTTGAATTTTAACAAAACCATTTCTTTAGAAATGAGAGATCGTGAAAATAGGGCAGTAGGGGATTGCATGGTTGGACCCGTTTCAAACATACAGATAGTGCCAAATTTCTGCTCTGTGATTCTGGGGGAACTAATTTTGGTAAAATGTATCTGGCATGGGTTATGTGCTGAGTAGTACTCTCTACTTATATGTGTAAAACAACACTGGTTCCCTAGAGGTGGACAAATCCCTTTTGCTTATACCAGTGTGTGTGCAAAGAGAAATGTGTAGGTGTACACACATCCTTGAGGCCCTCTGGAAGATATGGGACACACTTAATCTCTTCTAACTCTCTGGAGTGTGATGTTAAGGCTCATGTTTTAATGATGTGATGCTACAATGAATTCAACAGTATATGTTGGGTGGTCATCTCTTCACATTGTAAGAGTGACTCCTTTACCTCATGATGAGAAAATACTTAGTTGATTTTACTTAGGGAACTTACCAAGGGCTATGATGGTCGATAAGATATGAATTAATGTGGACAAGCTTTGGTGACTAAGGCGGAAGCGTAAGTCTAGAAGGGAAAATAGAGTCCCCTCAACCTGCCACCCCTCTTTAAAGCGAAGCTGCATATCTAAGCTTGTATAGTCGCCCATTTCTTTTCATTGAGGAGGTGCTTTTGACCAACGCTGATATGAAGTAGGCCACTCTCTAAACGAGGCTGCCTGACAAGAGGACAAATGGAGGTGTACATGCTGAGTGTCTACGTGATAAATCAAATCAACAAATAATTAAATAAAATATATCCTATTCTCTTAACCTTGAAAAATAGACCTTTGACACTACCTGGTTAAGTCAGGTTCTCATTTAGAGTGTTTGGATTCCTAGGAGTTCTGCATTGGGAAATACCAACACAGGGAGAGCCAGCCCCTCTGGTCCTCAGCCTGTGGCCTTTCCCCTTCCTCTGCCCACATTCAGCTCCATCCTGTATCACAGAGGTCTGGTATAAATGCATGTGGATGCCTCGACCCACATGGCAAAGCTCTGTCCAAACCTGTGCAAACAGTCCCCCAGGGCTAGCCCTCAGACTTTGAGGTATGCACACTGATAGCATGATTTGCCTTCAGAAAATGGGTCCAGGAAGGAGGATTGCACAACCCTTGGAAACAGACTTGGGGCTCTTTGGGTAGGGAATTACAGGACCCCAGGGTCTCGAATATGGTCTTGAAAGAGAGTATGAGTCCCAGTGGAATGCCATGTTGGCTCTGTGGACCCCTGGTCCTATGGAGGGAGATGTTCCGTAGGATGGTCAGATCAGGCCATTTCAAACAGGAGACCTCTAGGGCAGAGGTCCCTTTGACTCTAAGGGAAGTATTGTTGTCTTATCAGAACATATTACCAAATTCCCTTTTCCTCATCTGCTCAATCATTTCCTCAGGTCCAACCTCCTATTTAAAAATCCAGTCACGTTCCACTGGGCACAGGACTCTACCATGGAAACCAAAGTTAGCTGGGTTATTAATGGATGGAAATTAGAGCCAAATCTTTCAGGCTAATTGATTTTTAATTATTGTTCGATAAAAGATACCTCGAGCTAAAGAACCCTTCATCAGACCAGTTAAGTATCTGTTCTAAACCAGCTCTTCTACAAGCATTTAAAAGCCAATATTGATGCAAAAGCAAGTAAACCTCACTTTACCATTTTGCACGAAATTTCCCTTTAGGATTTTCTCTGAGAAAATTTGAAGGAAAGGTAGCAAGCTTTCCTGCACCATCGTGTTAGTCTTCTACCCCTGTGTGGACATATAACTTCTCTGCAGTTACCTTCTCTGCTAGTTTCCCTAGTACTTAGATACGAGTCTTGTGGAATAGTTGGAGGGGGTGTTGTGCTGGTATCAGGCCTCTGGCAGGGACACTGCCCTGTGTGCGTGCGTGCGTGCGTGTGTGTGTGTGTGTGTGTGTGTGTGTGTGTTCTGTTTGGTATTTGCATAGACCTGGCTCATGCCAGTCAAGTATTGACTGCTTTCCCCTTTTCTTTCTCTGTAGCTCGAGAGGAGAATGTGGCCACTTTCCGAGGCTCAGAGTACCTGTGCTACGACCTGTCTCAGAACCCAATCCAGAGCAGCAGTGATGAAATCACCCTGTCCTTTAAGACCTGGCAGCGGAACGGGCTCATCCTGCACACGGGCAAGTCGGCTGACTATGTCAACCTGGCTCTGAAGGATGGCGCAGTCTCCTTGGTCATTAACCTGGGGTCTGGGGCCTTTGAGGCCATTGTGGAGCCAGTGAATGGAAAATTCAATGACAACGCCTGGCATGATGTCAAAGTGACACGCAACCTCCGGCAGGTAATGGCTGAGGGGAGAGAGTGCCCAGAGGCTCCTCTTAGGTGGCTGGGGAGGAAGTTCGTGAAGTAGGTGGTGGGTTAGGTTACATGGAGAGGGGTAGAGATACCCTATGGGTTTGGATTTGTCGAAGTCAAACTTTCTCCCAGCCTTTACAATTTCACAAGGATAATTATTAAAATATGTTTCCTCTCTTACTTCAATTTTCCATTTGTGCTTGTTATTTAAGAAAAAAAATTCAGTTGTATAGATAAAAGTTATAAATACTTTCCTTTTGTTTTGCTTTCCTTTTTATCATTTTCCTGATTACCTTTGAATATTGTACTATTGCTAAATCAATTAGGGAGAGCGTTTTGTTTCTGCTTGGTAGATTTTTCTCATTCTTTGAATATATGTTTTTCTTTTTAATTAAGTTAGCCATTGCCATGACGCCGTAATTTTAATTCCTTCCAGAAGAAGTCTTTCTTTTTCTCTTCCTTTTAATTTACCAACCCCTCGTCCACTTTGATTCTTTCTGTTGGGTTGTGTTAACCTCTAGCCTTGGAGTGAATTAGCTGCGATCTTTCTGAATTCCTTTGTTTCTCTGTTCCTTGGTGTTGTGGTATACTTTATTGCCCCTGTCTCTACCTCTGACACTCTTCAGTTGACTAGGAGGCCTGGAAAGTGGAAGGACCCACATAAAAAAGTCAACTTTGGAGCAGCCTTTCCTGGTTCTGTACGTGCTTGAGAACTCCCATCGCTTGCTGATTCTAAGCAGGCAACTCCATCAGGTGACAACAGTCTCAGAAAGCCTTAGCCCAGTGAAGTTGTTTTCCGTTTCATAACTAATAATAGTGATAACAATAACAACAATAATAATACCTCACCAGCCCACATCAGGAAAAAAAATTAAAAACACTTCCTGTAAAAGTCAAGGTCTATTCTGAGACTGCCTTTTCCAGGTTCTGTTTTCACTTGGTTTTTCTACTTGTGAATTTGTCATTAAACTCAGTTGGACAGCATTCATCCTTTATTAAATCAGAAAGCATTATGTAAATTTCCAGAAGGTGCTTATCAAATTTTCTTCTGCAGTGTGATTGATTTAATGCCTTCTAATGTAAACATGAAAGCATGAGAACTGACAGGTGTTTGCCTGTGTTTTCTGTTTGATAAAAGTGTAACTCCTTAATAATGCTCAGTAAATGGGGAAGGCTCCTCCACATTGGAGACACACAATATTCAAAATACCCATTTCCACACTTAAGCATGTCAAGGAAGCCCTGTGGTTGGAGATGCTATTCTATCTGTGATGAAGTTGCCAGATCCTGAGTTAGAATTCCCCGTCATCTTCATACACACAGGTGGAACATTTTTGAATCACCATTCTGTGTTTTTCCTGCAAGGCCAAAGAATCCTGTGGCTGATGTTTCCTTTCATCATTCCCCACCTGTACTTACAGGAGAGTCCCCCTCAGCGGCCAAGAGAACCCACATCAAATTTTCATTTGCTAACATATAAGGGCTTGAAAGGTTTGAGTAGCCGAGACTAGACCAAAAAGGAGAATATGACCTTTTATCGGTTTTGACTGGCAGTTGCACAGTAATACCCTTCTGCCATTAGTCAGTTAAGGGGGGATTTTCACGTACTGGGGAGTGGAATCAGGTTGTGGTTCTCACCAGCCAATCTGTTTCTCTCTCTCTGTCTCCCACCCCACATGCTTCTTTGCCGTTCTAGAATGATTCCAATTAGCCGGCAAAGGCTCACTTTCATTTCCACTAAAAAAGACTTTTCTAAAATAGAGTTGGGCCCTAATTCAGTCCTTTACACTGAAATGGGGATGAACCAAACTGTAATTCAGATATTGGTTGTGCTGAGTTAGTCTGAACAAGCAGAGGAAGGCAACACTGTAGGGTTTCTCGTCCAAGTTCTAAGACCCGACTCCTCTCTGTGCCCTTGGACAAAGCATTTAACCTTTCCACACCACAGTTTCCATTTGTGAGATGGTGATTACAGCCCTCCACGTGTGGTGGCTAAATATGCAAAGCATCTTATATTCCAGAAGGATTATGAGCTCATCCATGGTCTGGGTGCTAGACTCGCTGGGACATGCACATGATTTACATGCTGAGTATTCTTTCAAAGGTGACTGCCTCTGTCTGTCCCCATGGATGCAGCTAAGTAGAGCTCTCAAGACAAGGCCACTGGGCCCTAGGGTGTTGGGGGCATTTCTCGGCAGAAGGAGTATGAATCTTTTAGAGAAAGTGCACCTAAAATTGGACCTCATCGGAATCTGCATTGAATTTTGCATCCAAATGCAATTTACTGAAAGAGGAAAAAAAATCTCAGAAAAGCAGAGTTGATTTTGCAAATACAATCCTTTCAACCCTGAGTCAGCTAAGATTATTATTTTTCCCATTAAAAGTACATTTATAACATCTTTTTGAGTTCTCTAGGATACATTTGAAGGGGTGGGAAGCCCCTGTCTATTTCAGTTAAACTGTAAATCACTTCATAAATATTTGACAATAAGCTGATGGCAGTCTCGCCTACTCTTTTGGTAAGGTTGAATGGCTTCTGTGGTAAAGATTCATCTGAGGAAAGCTTACTCGGGGTTTCCTTACCAAATGGAGCAAAACTTTCCCCCTTTCTTCCTTTTTGGTCATCTGCCACGGTTCTGCTTTTGGGCCAAGTCAGGCCAAGGTCAGGTATTTTATTGGGGGTTCTGATTAATGGAGGGAACGTGGATTATCTGTTCTAAATTATAACCAGGACCTGAGTCCAAGGTCATGGCCATCACAGGAAGTGCTTTACTTTTATATGCCACTTTAGTCAAACCGCAAACACAAAACTGGGGTTAACCATCTTCTAGCCTTCCAGCCTCCCAGCTCAGGGTGTGTTGGCAATTTAACATTTGAAAACAGCGAAGAAAAGACTAATTGTAGGGCTTCTCTAATCATGTTTAACCTGCCAGTTCTCTCTGCCATCCATGCAAGAAATTGCTTAAAAGCTTGAAAAGCAAGCATTCTTAAAGAGGAATGAGGGGAGAGTGATTCTAACAGGAGACATTCTGGCACAGTGAACAAAGTAACATTATTGGCTAGTGAAGGAGACTCCAACTCTTTTGATGCATTCTAACGACACAGTTATTTAAACCTGAGAGAACAGGAAAGAGGAGAAAGTTGCCCTCCTGCTGCACAAATCCACAAAATCAAGGGGGTCCTGGATCTTTAAGTTACCCATGGAAACCCAGAGTAAACTACATATGTAGCCTTCCTATGCTAGATGTGACCTGTAAATGTTTTAAGATCTTTTTGTCCTAGGAGAAAATCATGATTGTCCATGCATGTAATCAGAGTCAGATGTGAAAAAACAATCCCCAAAGTACTGGTATTTCAGCTCTCTCTGTTTATCTACGTGTGGAACGATAAACCTTGGGGGTCTTTTCTTTCAGGACAGATGGATTGTGTTTGTGCTAGAGGGTGGGAAGGGAGCAGGGCGGTGTTCTTTCAGAACAGCTCTTGGAAAGTAAGTATGATGCTAATTCTGACTGGGGTGAGGTCTGGTCTGAGTCTGTTTGGAGAAGAGGGGAGTTACAAAGCCAAGGTGGACTGCAGCTCCTTTCCTGGTTGTGCCCCAGGTGCCAAGGTTTTCCATAGAGTCTTGGTCTCATTGTCTTCCCCCACTCTCTTTTTCTGTGTCGGGTGCCTTTTTTTTGAAAAACTAACACAAGATCATTCATGCAATGTGTCATTTTACTAACCAACGAATGTACTAACACCCTAACGGCTCATCTTTGTTTTTAGTTTTTTTAATTAACAATCGTTCTGTTCACAATTTTTAATTTCCTTTCTTCCCCCTTTTCCGCAAAGCACTCAGGCATCGGACACGCTATGGTAAACAAACTACATTGTCTGGTAGATATCATTCTTATTGTCTCTTTTTTTGGGTTTGCCGTGTGTTGCCCCCCTTTTCCTCCCCAAACCCCCCTTTTATCCTCTTTAGAGTTGTTTCTTCTTTTAAAATTTTTTGTTGAATTAAATACGAGCCTTTCTTTTTCTTTAAGAAGAAAATGGAAGGGGATGCACCTGTCCTGACAATATTTGGATGAGTTTGGTTGGGACAGTTTTCCTTTTCTCTACTTTGTAATTTTTTTTTCCTAAAAAAAAGTTTTTTTTTTAAAGAAATGTTCTTTGTTGAGCTAAATTTGTTTTGTTTTGTTTTCTTATTTTGCAAGTTCCAAGTTACCGACTAGGGACAACAGAGATTTCTATTGAGGACTTTCTTCTCTCTGTGTCTTCCTACCCCTCACTCGTCCTCCTTTCTTTCCCCCCTTCCCCACTCCCGAATCCCTTTTTTTCTTTCCCTTTTGTGTGGCCATGGCTGCCACAGGTGATCTGGGGAGGAAAGTACTCGACTTCCTGTGTTCTTCCTTTCCCTCCTTTCACCTTACTTCCCACCTTGGCCAAAGGGAGCTGTGCCAATTTGTGTTCTCCGTACAAACTCTGCATGGCATGTTCCTGTCTCGTGAATTTCCCCATGGGTATCAGAATCCTCGTTTTCCTCCTCAGTACTAACAACCTACCAGTCGCCAACCCCACTCCACGCTCTCCTCTCTCTCTTTTTTGTCTCCACGCTTCTTCATGCTCCTCTCACCCTTCATATATTTTGGGGTTGGGTTTGGACTTTTTCTTTTCTTTTTTGTTAGTAAGGGAGGTGGCAGGCAGGGGAAAGACTACCCTTTAGTTTTGAGTGAGTTTTCTTCTTTTCACTCCCATCTTGTTTTTCAGTTGGTTTAGTGCATGTAAGTGTGAAGTGGATTTTGATTCTCTTCCTTAGTGCTCTTCACCCTTTGTCCCACTTCCCTCCCTTTTATTCTTCTGCCTTCTCTCTTGGCTCCGGATGATTTTCGCATGGGTGTGTCAGTGTACGGTGCGTGCACGCTTCCAGGCCCCATCTCTTCTCTGTGCCCTCTGCTCCTTTCATGGATGTTGGGTGTATGGGTGCTATTTATTTCCTGTGGGCATTGTTATTATTTTGGCTATTATGCCTCATCATTCTTTTTGTTAGCGTTGCCTTTTTTGGTTTGGATCATTTCTTCTCTGGCTGGTGGTGATGGCACACAAGGGAGGACAGGGGTTGGTGTCCTGGGTAGTCCGTGGCATGTATCACCCGTGACTCATCAAAATCAAGACCCTTTTCCTTCCCTCCCTGAATGCATGTTTGTCAGCGTGGTGTGAGCCCAAAAAGAAACAAATAAAAAAAGAAAAAGAAAAGAAAAAGAAAAAAAACATCAACAACCAAAGACCAACCCCCTAACAAACCCCATTGTCAAACATCTCCATTGCTGTTTCTCATGACCACTATAAATTACAATCTTTCAAAAGTAAATGCTCATTTTACCAATGAACTGAGACGTCTGAGGATAGTTCCATTTTCTAGCCTGACCAAGTGAAGAGGGCAATGGGTAGAGCGAGTTGCTCAGCTTGGCAGTTCCGGAAAAACTCTCCCAGGAGTCTGCAGGGAGACACTGGAGGCTTGGGCCACAGGGAGGCAGACCAGAAAATGGAACTTGGCTGCACATACCAAAATCAATCCAAATTAGAAAGAATACCTCACCCAAATCTTAATGAAAGTGATGCCACAGGTAGGGGAAGCCCCTGGATTTTGATAGGACTGTAAGGTCATTGTTGGGATTTTTTTTTTTGTCCCTATGTCCCTCCACCAGGTGACAATCTCTGTGGATGGCATCCTTACCACGACGGGCTACACTCAAGAGGACTACACCATGCTGGGCTCAGATGACTTCTTCTATGTGGGAGGAAGCCCAAGTACAGCTGACCTGCCAGGCTCACCCGTCAGCAACAACTTCATGGGCTGCCTCAAAGAGGTAATTTAATTCCATTTAATGCACTGACTGTCTAAGAACAAATGAAATTTTCAGTTCAGTGACTGGATCTGTCCTCTAATCTATTCTATGAGGCCATAGGTTGTAGCAGAAAAGACTCTGGACTTAAAAGTAGAGGCCCTAGGTTTTGATCCCAGTTTAAGCTGGTTGCAGGACCTTGCGCCACTTAAGTACCCTGTGGTTCTGTTTCCTCATCTAACTAATGAGGAACCTGATCCCACAGGTAGCTGTGCTTTATAAATTAAATGAAGTAACTCAGATGAAAGGACGTTGAAATCACAAGGAACTAGACCTGTGTGAAGTCTGATTTTGTATTTTTGACTTGACAAGTAGGGAAGCCTCAGCTAAAAGTGGCTCAATTTGTGGTTGTGTGTCTTGTCTAAAACATAACGTATGTATTATTTTACCTTTGCTAAGCTTGGTGTTCCCAAGAGTCTCATTATTCGAGATGAAGGAAAATTCTCAGAATATAATATTAAGGACCAGAAGACTCGTTTTTCCTTTTTTTTTTCCTCCCTGAGAGCTAGCAGCTGTGAGAAAGCTGCTTTACCATAATAATGGGGCTTTACCATTACTCATTTATTACTATTGTAGCTAATGTGTTGAGACCTCTGTCTGAGAGCAAAGGAGCTTCAGTCAAGTGTAAGTTCAATCTCTAAGGTCAATTGTTGAGGCAAAAAGAATCAGACTTGATTTGCTGGAGTTCTTTCAGCACACAGTGTCATCAGAGCAGTGCACTGCACTTTTTTGTTTAATCTAAACTAAGCTTGATTGCCTAAGATAGCTATACCATTTCCCTGTGGAAATTCCTTGAGAAGCTAACAGTGTTCTTTCTTGTAGATAAAGATCCATTGTGACATGTTATGAGCCTCCTCTCAGGGCACATGTTTTATTCTTATTATGGTTATTTGAAATTTGTTGCACATCAGTTACATATGAGATGGCATCGCACGTGCATTCACTCACGCCACTCGGCTGTGAGCTGTGTCTAGACAGGACTTGCGTCTGTTATACCTGGCATAGAGCAGGTGCATAATAATTATTTATTGAATGGAGACATTTATCAAATAATCATTGGGTACCTTTTCTGTGCTGTAACTAACCTTAATGGCTCTTTGTAAACCACGGTCTCCCTGTTTGAAGACTTTGTAATCTGGAAAGAGAGTTGAGAGCTGTAAGGGAACAATTATAGCTCAGGGCACCCTGTGTTCAGATCACAGATGAAGTGATCTAATTGAGCAGAGGAAACAGATACATTTTAGGTGGGAGTCAGCATTGGAGAAGAATTGGTATTTGAGCTGGGCCTTTGCTGCAATAAACCGTATGTGCATTGAGAGAAAGGGGGAGGAAGGAGAGACATGACAAAGGAGGGAAAAATCCAATTACAGCTTTGTATTGTTCTTGTTCTGAAGGAAAAATGACAGGAGAAAAGTCTTAGAGAGTTTTCCTCTCTCTGCTGGACATTACCTAGGCTTCTGCTGGCTACAGGGTCGCCACAGGTCATTCCTGACGGAATTGCCGCAGACATAGCACACTTCTTCCCTGGGATTTACTCCTATTTGGATAGAATAACGGTATAAACTACTCTGTCTGATGAACCCTGAAAGATTCTTAAACACCGTTAAATCACACTCCATTGGAATTGCACTCTCATGCGGTACACGGGCCTCTCACTGTTGTGGCCTCTCCCATTGCGGAGCACAGGCTCCGGACGCGCAGGCTCAGCGGCCATGGCTCACGGGCCCAGCCGCTCCGTGGCATGTGGGATCTTCCTGGACCGGGGCACGAACCCGTGTCCCCTGCATCGGCAGGCGGACTCTCAACCACTGCGCCACCAGGGAAGCCCAGATAGGAGCATTCTTGTTCCACGTTTGTAGCTCAGGAATGAATTAGGCATTGATTGCTGTGGAGAGCTCGTCCATTTTTGTCGTGAAGCAGCCCTGAGCCTGGAGTTTCTCCTGGACTGGGTCTAGGGGTGGCCTCTAGGACTAATTTTCCCCTGCACACAATTATGTTGAACTATCTCTCCATTATGTATTTTGAGACAAAGGAGCAATTTCCCAACCGCAGATCTGTCAATCAGGAAGGATGCCCCTGAATATTTTGAAACAAGTCTCATAAAAACATGAAGTATCTCTGATGATTTTATCCATGCAGAACCTAAAGTAAATAAAATCTGCACACACACGCACACCCACACACACGTACTCACATACTACACTGTCCAGATGGAGAGCAGACAGCTTCAAAAGTCTGTGAAAAGTGGCACTTAATAGCTTAAAAATTAAAGGCAGTTCTGAAAACCAGTGTCAGTGACAGAAATAACAGTAATAGTAATAAAAATATGCACACATCTTAGCTAGCAGCTAAGCAGAATTTAAATCCAGATCAAGTTAGAAGGAAGAAAGTCCAAAACAATGAAGGAAGTGGTAGGCGAAACAAGAACTTAATATAAACTTTTGCACCATCTCTCCTTTACGTATATAGTATGGTCTTTCTAAGGGAGTTGGGAGGCCTTCTCATTTGTCTGAGTGCTTTAAACAGATAGCTTTGAGTTTAATGAAATCCTGGCATACTCTTTCTTTCCATTTAATTATAATTCACTTTTCTGTGGGAAAGTCTAGGAAATTCTTCTCTTGTTCCTGGCATTTCTCTTTCACAATTTTGTAAACAGTAAAAGCTTCCAGCTATGTTGGGACTTCCCTCCTTGATAAATCCCACTTACCCACGTTAACTGTTTCCCCTTAGAACAGTCAGCAGTTATTTTACAACTTCTTCCCTTCCCTAGCTCCTTCTTGCTTTTTCTGGCACCTCTGGCCATTTGTGGCTCTAAGCGGCCTTAAGCTGAGCTGGGTGCTTTTATGTTTCATTTTTTTCAAAATGGGGACACGGTGAAGACCTTATGGGGTTTCTCTTCCAGATCGTTGATACTTTGTGTGTGGCACAAAATAGTTTTTATCTTTGGAACTACGGTTACTTCACACCTGAAAGTTAAGTTCTGGCTCTGCTCTTCTATCTATCTATCTGTCTATCTATCACATCTTTATTGGAGTATAAATGCTTTACAGTATTGTGTTAGTTTCTGCTGTACAACAAAGTGTGAATCAGCTATATGTATACATATATCCCCATATCCCCTCCCACAAGAGTCTCCCTCCCACCCTCCTTAACCCACCCCTCTAGGCGGTCACAGAGCACCGAGCTGATCTCCCTGTGCTATGCGACTGCTTCCCACTAGCTATCTATTTTACATTTGATGGTGTATATATGTCCATGCAACTCTCTCACTTCGTACCAGCTTCCCCTTCCCCCCCTCATGTCCTCAAGTCCATTCTCTACGCCTGCGTCTTTATTCCTGTCCTGCCCCTAGGTTCTTCAGAACCATTTTTTTTTTTTTTTTAGATTCCATATATGTATTAGCATACGATATTTGTTTTTCTCTTTCTGACTTACTTCACTCTGTATGACAGATTCTAGATCCATCCACCTCACTACAAATAACTCAATTTCATTCCTTTTTACGGCTGAGTAATATTCCATTGTATATATGTGCCACATCTTCTTTCTCCAGTCATCTGTCGATGGACACTTAGGTTGCTTCCATGTCCTGGCTATTGTAAATAGAGCTGCAGTGAACATTGTGGTACATGACTCTTTTTGAATTATAAGGTTTTCTCAGGGTATATGCCCAGTAGTGGGATTGCTGGGTCATATGATTGTTCTATTTTTAGTTTTTTAAGGAACATCCATACTGTTCTCCATAGTGGCTGTATCAATTTACATTCCCACCAACAGTGCAAGAGGGTTCCCTTTTCTCCATACCCTCTCCAACATTTATTGTTTGTAGATATTTTGATGATGGCTGTTCTGACTGGTGTGATGTGATACCTCATTGTGGTTTTGATTTTCATTTCTCTAATGATTAGTGATGTTGAGCATCTTTTCATGTAGTTTTTGACCATCTGTACGTCTTCTTTGGAGAAATGTCTATTTATGTCTTCTCATTTTTGGATTGGGTTGTTTGTTTTTGTGATATTGCTGGCTCCACTCCAGTCAAAGTGATTGTGGATTTCACCTGTGCACACAGCTCCTAACTTGATACCAGAGTAGAAGCACGACAGAGAGGGTCCATGTTATCATCCAATTATTGAAGTACTCTGCATGCCCTAGTTATCAATTCAATATTTGTGTCCACTCAAGCATCACAAAAATTCCCGCCTTGTTCCTCTTCGTGGTTTTGTGTTCTAACATGTCTGTCATATTTTTTTTCTTGTTGTGTCCCCAGCTCTTAGAACTGTTCTTAGCACCTAGTGGGCGCTCAATAAATATTTGCCAAATGAAATCACATGTTCGTAAGTTTAAGAAATAGCTTTTAGGTAAATGCTCTTAGGCACTATTGACAATGTGACTTTCTTGGGATCATTAAAGAACATCCTGACATGGCAATAGTTGAACCTTTTAGGAACCTCCCAGCTATCTGAAATGAGTGAAGTATTACATAAAAAGGCCCAGCAAGACTAAAAGAAATGGGTTGGAACCCACTCTGAGAAGAAGGGGATTGAAAAGGCTTTGAGGAGGCATCGTAGTATAAATGAAAAGAATACTGGGTTTAAAATCAGAAAACCTGATTGGGAATACCAGCTTTATTACTTTACTGGCTATATGGCCTGGAATAAGCCACTGATCTTATTTGAGCCTCAGTTTCCTAACCTATAACATGGAGATAATAAGACCTCTGTTGTGTTCTTAAGAACAAATAAAATAATATACGTAAAAGTGAAATCATACATAAATATACAATGATGTTTTTCTACAGTAATGATGATTAAGGATTATGTAATCATTCTTATAAAACAAATTTATTTATGAAATAACTTTAAGAGTAAGTGAATATACATTAGCACATGCGTATGTTTGTATTTCCCATATTACCAAATCACTATCTGGGGGAAAAACACAACTTTATTCTGAGGTTTGCCTTA